TCTGCCGGCCTGACTGACACAGACATGTTAGGTTTGTCTCTGAAGACAGCAACTTCAGAGAGATCAGACTTCAATCTGTGCATCTGTACCCTGCTGGAATATTCTTCAGCAATCGGCAAGGCCCTGGGAAGTTTTACTCAGCTCTTCCCATCTACCAAGCAGTCTGTGCACCCTCATTCATCACCCCTCCCTGGGTGGATCTTGATTTTTATCTTGTTCTTCTAAATCCTGCCCTGACCCTGCAGCTAATAAATATCCATCATTAGCTAAGTTGTCAACATCTCTCTCCTGTTTGATACATTTGCTGGGCAAAGTAGATGAATGGCCATCTGGTGCCTCCCAAACCATAGGTCAGGAGGAGACAGATAACATAGAGACTTCCCTTCTCCAGTTTCCACAAAGGGACTGATGGAGAGCAGATCAGGAAATGTTATCTGAACTCTCACACCCACCAGCCCCTTGCTGTCAGTTCTCCTTGGGAATGGAAGGACTTTGTACTACCAGCTCCTTGTCAAGACCCCATTTCCCAGAACCACACATGGAATAGTAGAGCACAAGGGGGTGAACAAAATGAAAGCATTTATTGAGCCCATTTGTTCTTAGTACCACTACATTGACACTAGGGGCCCCTTGTCACATTAGGGGCTCCTTTCAAGACCTTTCCCTGAGTTCTTCTTTCCTGTCTTCACCATCCTTATGTAACTTTTTCATCAGATGAAGACTAAATGGAAGAAAACTCTTGATCAGCTCAGGAATGGCCCTTGTGTGATAGCTTCAGAAGGAGAGAATAGGGGTGAAGAAATTCTCAGGATTTCTGTTCTGGCAGCCCAGCTTATGTAGAGCTTGTAGCCTGTAGCAGCAAGTGGGGAGTATGCAAGAAAGAACAGTGGATGAGCTCTCTGTAAACATGGCTTGGATCAAGTACCCAAGCCTCTTCACCATTACCAGGCTGTACATAAACTTGAAAAATGGAAACACCATCTGGGAAATGTCTAGGGCCCCTTTAAAGTACTGATCCTGGTCCATCGAACAAGACAGTGCTGCTGTAGTTGACACCTGCTAGTAGGGAATGGTGGAGCAGGAAGCATGGAGGGCAAAGGGATAATGGAGCTAATGCAACTGGGCAGGAAGATACTGGGGAGCATCCTAAGCTGAGACACAGCTGAGGCTCTTCTCAGTGGGGTTCAGAAGGCACCTCCCTTGCATTGAACATCCATTTTTCATGACAATTTGTAACATTGCCTAGATGAGCCAACGCTGGCCATCACACACTGTATTTGCACCAATTATATCACACTGGTATTAGCCTCTAAATCAGCAATGAGCTGTCTCCTGTCTGCCCCTCCATGCAAAACCCCTGTCAAACTAAAGCAAAGAGCTTGTTAGCATTTCCAGTCAAAGGGCGATGGTCAGGTTGATGTAAGGGAGCTTCTTGACAGTCCATTTTTTTGTGTAGACATTGTAACCTAGAAGTGCTGACTTCTCTGCTCTGTGCAAAGCATTTTCTGCTGGTGAAGAGAACAGCACTGGAAAATGTGGGGGGGCCTGAACCCCTAGTTCAGGGAGAAACCCTAGCAATTCTTCATCCTTCCTCGTCCACTCTTCCTGCCTTAATATCTTCTCCACCTCATTCTTTTTCTTCTTTCATTTTCCCTTCCTCCCCAGGTGAAACTCTCATTAGGAAGTCATCCTGGTGGCTCTGAAAGCGGGGAAATGAGAGTATGACCTCATTTCCTCTGTTCTGACTGTTTTTCTGGTGAGGGAAAGAGGACAAAGCCCAGGGAGTGTTTCCTCAGTTGCGATCCATTCCAGTTAGTTTGCTATAAAAAAAAATCTCTGAGTGTATTTTCTCTGTATTCCCTCTCTAAAATGCTCCTCATGTCATGGGTCATATATGTGTCTCTGTCATCCCAACGCAGTTCATATTAAACACAGGATGTATGCAAATGTGGAAATGAGGGGAGGATGGGGTGCCCACCTTTCTTCTCCATGTATTTCGTTGAGAAGCTCTCTGCCCTCTAAACACAGCAGCTCGAAGGCAATCCACCCACTCTACACAACTCTTCAAGCCCCCAGCCCAGGGCTCCTAGTGGCATTAGAGATGGTGCAGTAAGCTTAGGAGGATACTTCTGGTTTTTTGTCATTTCAATGTAAGCAGGTTGTTTCCGGGTTTAGAGTTTTTTGTTTTGCAGTGTGTTTCTGGCAATATTCTGCATCTCTGTATTTTAAGTACAGTAAAATTTGAGGATAAAACCCTCTGTTGTGTGAGTCCTTGGCTCTGGGGAGTAAGGAGAAGGGGGATAGAACAAAATACTGTTAAAAGGAGGCAGAATAATTCAGTGGAAAATCAGATGTCACTGCCAGGCCTCACCAAGCCCATTCCAGTCAGGGCTGCATCTCTGTCCATGCTTATACTAAGACATGGTTTTCAAGTTGCCGGATGCATCGCTGTGCTCCTAACAAAGGGCAAACTGGCCAACTGCCCTTCTCTGCTCCTTTTGATCTCCTTCCACCCATGTGAAAGTTAGCAAGTTCCATTGTGGCCCATGCCAACCTGGGCACTGCCATCACCATGGTTTTCTTATAGCCATAGGGTTGTGCTCTCCTCTCTACTTGAGAGCAGCCCTCCAACTGTTGGAAGCCAGGCAATGGAGCCATTCGGTAATTGTCTGTTGCGCCATAGGGAGCATAGCCTGAACAGCACTGTAGTAATTCAGCCTATTGTGCTTATGCTCAGGTTTGAGTTTGTGATGAAGAGGCACTGAATCCAGCACAAATGGGCAGTGAATTTGCTGAAGTTACTGGTCTGCTCAGTGCTGGGACTGGTGTGTCTCTGGCTCAGTGCCCCATCTTGCACCTGCCACCATGTTTCACACTAAGATGCAGTCCCAGCTCCATAAAAGAAATGAAATTGGGATGATTTCAAGTGACACTAGAGCAGGATGCAAACACAGCCATGGTAGGGGAACTGACAGCATTAGATATGGCTGAACTAGCAAGGTTGTGATAAGCAAGGGGCAGACTAAAGCTTCAGAAAAATGTAAAATGAGCTTTAGAAGGAGAATGAAGGGAGAAGAATAACAGGCTGGCTCCAGCAGGGACCTAAGCTCCTTGGCTAGCTGTGGCTTCCCCCATTTATCATTTCTCTGCCCTGCATAAAATACATCAGTCCAGACAATAAAAGCAGTTGCTAACGAGGCCATTACCAGGTAACGTTCAGAGTGAAATGCTCAATCTGAAAGCGGCAACAAAAGAATCCATTTACTTCAGTAAGTAGTAATGGGCCAATCAAGCCATTTATTTACTTTCAAATAGCATCTTCTAAAGGCAGGCTGCCATTTTCCTGCCAACTGCTGCTTTGGAGAATAACGTGTTTATTAGTGATGCACTTGGCCCAGAACACCTCTGTAGTCCAACACTGGGTGTGCTGCCTTGCCTCTGTGGGTGCTCAGCATGTCATCTGCTAGGGTTGGGGTGACCAACGTGCATCTTATGGGCTTGGTGGAACATGAGGTTCCCTTATCTTTTGCAGGGAGGTTCAGCCTGTGGAGATAGTACATCCCAGGGCATCGGCATCCCATGCTGGGGTCTGAGAGCAGTTGCAATCTCTGGGCTGCCAGCAGAGCTATGGTAGCGATTGCTGCAGGTGTTTCCATTCGGTCTCACTGAGGCACTCACTGCAGCTAACACAGATGATTTATAAGGTGCTTCTCCTGTCCCTGCAAACACCAAGGAGCGACCACTAGACTCATCTTTCTGTTGACCTTTTATGGCCACTTCCAGTTAAAATAGTTTTCTATTTCTCAAGTGAGGCCAGTTTGCAAAATGCCATGAGCAAGATGAGCTCAGACTCTTGTGGCAGATGCTCCTGCACTTCCAGAGGTCTTTAAAGGACAGTTTAACTGAGAATCATGCAGCCTCCCACACACCTCCCTTCTCTTTAACCCCTGTCCTCCTCTTGGCTTTTGTAAGTGCAGCAAGCAGGCAGTTTCTGCTAGCTCTCCAGCTGTTTTTGTACACAGTCATTACAGCTCCCCAGTTCAAATCCACTTCCTATTGAATTCAGTCATAAACCAAATGGAAGGCATATCCCCTAAGATACACCTCCCCCTTCTGCCAAGAGAACCCTGTTCCCTGGAGGCCATCTTCCACTGGAGCTCTTCTTCAGGTGGGTCCCTGCCTGCTCTCTGGAGAGGAATGAGGGAGCTCTAACCTGGGAGCCACAAAATCTGGTTTCAGGATCTTTGTTCTTCTCTTGACCTGCTGGATGAATCACTTTGGTGCTTTGTGTCCCTGTTTCCTCAAACACCCTTTATCTGTCTTATTTCAACTACAGGTTCTCCAGGACGCGGCGTCTCTTGCTCTGCATTAGTGAAATGCCAAGCGCAGTGAAGCATTGATCCCAGCTGGGACTCCCCAACCTACTGTTAGACAAATTATTACTGCTAGTATTTTTACCTAGACTCACTAACACTTGCTGGCCAGCAGTGAGGGAGTCAGATCCAAGAGTCTAAAAAGAGTATCTCCAGTGCCTTGGCCAGATGTCCTGCTGATTGGATTGATACTTGGGCTAGCACCTTCCCACAGTGCAGTAGCCAGGCTGCTGGCCTCTCCTAGTGGGCCTCTTGTTAGTGCTCATGCCAGGAGCCTCCCAGCCAGTAGACAACATAGGATTATTGCTGTTGTAACTGAACTAGCTGCATTTTCACATGCTTTGCAGCCAGCAATGAATTCTGAATTTCCATGCCTTCCCCCAGCTCTGAATGACTCTCCAGGACCAGACCAGGCCTCCCTCAGCCTGCATGCCTAGCACTTCTTTATGCGTCTCCTGCCATCATTCCTCCAGTCCAGCCCTACATTTCAGAGGGGACACTGTATGCCACCCTACCAGAGCTATTGTGGATCAACCCCTCTCTATCAGTGCCATGAAATCTTAATCATGTTTCTGTCCATCTCCTGTTGCCTCTGAGGAGCTCCTCCAGTCCAAGTTCACCTCCAAGTCAGTTTTATTGCACTCTTTTATTTACAGAAGACACAGAAATAAAGCATTAATTTTGTTTCTTTTTGCCAAACCGCCCAATCAACTTCTTTTGGCTCAAAGAAATATCACAGATGTTACCAAACAACCATGGATCAACGTTCGACTGACTGCCCAGCCCAATAACATGACTTAAACAAACAGACATATCAAAACGAGATCAAAAACGAGGTTATTCCACATTCAGCTAAAAGTATAACCTGCTTATAATCGGGAGGCAAGGGGAATTATTCTTGAAGTGACAACACCATTCATAAATTATACATATATATAGATTTATCTCTTACATTGTAAAAGTAAACAGTGCAAAAGTACAGTACCCCAGGTACCCTTCGGTTTGGAAAGCTTGAAGGATGTTTTTATACATTGTGTGTGTGTTTTGTAAACATTGTTACCCATCCACAGTTTTAGCTCTTGCTCTGAGACCCAATTCCTTTGCGTCCAAAGCGCATTGGTGAGAGGTGACAGCCTCTTCACTGTAACTCCATTGAGATTCCCATTCAAGATTTAGTGCAAATTTTGGAGAGAAAAAGGGGGTTTGGGTGGGGAACAAATTAAAATAAAATAAGGCAACAGTTAGATATTAAAAATAGAGCACAAGCCCCCAATGGCTGTGTTACGAGAAGGGCAGGAAGTCCCTGTCTTCCACAAGGCTGATGGAAAGGTTTTTCAGCTCTTCCTCTGACCCCGCCATTTTGTAACCGAGCTGCGCTAGCACCTGCTGGCAGGCGTTCTGCGTAAACTCCACAATCTCGTAGGAGAGGCGGAACCGCCATTTCTCTGCTGTTGCTGCTGAATTTCGGACGGTCCCATACTTGTGTTTGGCTGAGGACCTGTCTCCTCGCGTGTTGTTCTGTATCCATCTCTCGACGTTGCTGTCCATGGGGATGCCCAGGAAGTCGTAAATCTCCTCAGTCTTTTTCATAGGGTTTCGGGCCAGGTCTTCATATCTCACTAGCATGTACTTTCCTTTGAGCCAAGGGGGCCTGTTTAGCCCTGTGGAAACAGAGTTCAGGAAGTCTTCGCAGACTGTGGTGAGCTGAGTCACATCCAGGTTGTACGGCTTCCTGCCGGTGCCATCCCAGATCCTCCACAGCCTGTAGGTGTCCCGAAAGGTCTCGCTCCTGGATGCCAAGATACCCCTGGGATCTCTCACCAACTGTATGACCTTCAGGTTTAGTCTAGGGTCCTCCACCAAGGCCCTGAGGTCACTGACCTCTGGCACCCGCACTGTTTTGATGGCCACATGCCCGTGCTCTTTGCAAGACTCTGTGGCCAATGTCAGGTTCAAGGTGCCACATTTTTTCACACAGTCCCCTTCCTCCAGGTGGAGGTCGATGGGCCCCAGAGATTCACAAACCGGAGGAGAGCACAGGGCCTTGCTGGCCCCTCTGCGAAAGAGCCGGTCTGTCGTGTGGTTCACTGGTTGGGGTTTGATGTAGTTCTCCAGGAAGTAGAGGTCACAGTCATAAAGGCTCCTCAGCAGGTCTCTGCTGGCACCCAGCATGACCCGCCTGTCAGTGGTGCTCTTGCTCTGTGTCAGCTTTGGGATCAGGGTGTACTGGACATGGTAAAGGGGCTCGAATAAATAGAAGACATCAAAGTGCTGGTTAAACAGCTGTCCAACAAAAGAAGAGCCACTCCTGGTGGTGGCCAGGATAAGGACGTGTGTCTTCCTGGAGAGGTTGTAAGTGAAGGTGGGGCTTTCGTCACATAGCCTGTCGGCTGAATCAGTCTCCTGGCTCAGGCTGCAGTTCACTGGGTTGGGGATAGGACAGCTGTGGAAGGATTTGGCAGTGAAAGTTCGGATAGCTGTGTACTGGATAGCAATGGATGCCAAAGCTAGTAGGAGGACAGCCTTCCAGGAACATTGCATGGCTGGTCACCTTCATGGAGCTTCTTCTCAGGTTGTCTTAGTAGCTGCAACACAGAAAAGAGGTTAGCAGTAGAGAAGGGAACTTTGCCCATGATGACCCTAGTATTCCTTGTCCTGAATGTAATTGGTTTTAGTCAGGATGGTCCAGAAAATATGCAAGAAGCAAGGGATAAAACAATGGCTTGTGTTTAATTCCATATGTAAAAGAAACTTAGATCAGGAGGGCTGAAAATTAGAAGTGAAGAGAAGTTATCAGCAGCAACGGCAAAGCAGGAGAAGTTTAGTTGAACAGATGACCTAATTATATAAAAGAACAAAACCATTCAGAAGGGAAAGGAGCATTAGTACCTATGGAGTACAGAGAGCTTAGAAAGAAGAGACATCTATGTTTAGTCTATGGTGTTACGAATTTTGTCCCTGGGCCCACTGTCTGAAGGCATTTTGTAGTTTTCCTTTGAGTATAAGGACTATGAGGTCAGAAATGGTGTAATTCTTCTGTGAGAAGATTTCTTTTACATAAGAAGTTTTATATTTATTTTCTTTGAAAAATGGAGTTACACAGAAGCCAATGTTTTATCTGACATGCGGCATAGGCCATTTCTTTCTTTCCCAGACCTGAGAAAGGGCACTTTGTACCAAAAGCTTGTCTAACATCTCTCCTGACTGTACGGCTGGTTCAATAAAAGATATCACTAAAAACCCTTGTACTGAATGGGTGCTGGACCGTGAAATGACAGTCCAGATAAGACAGTGAGTGGTTGAGTAAAGTCAATATTCATCATAGCTGCCTGGGTTAGTGATATGGTCTCATACTGCACATCTCCCAACCCCACACCAACCCAGGAAGCTGGATCCTTCCTGGAGGATAGCAATGCGAAAAGTGTGTGACTTGCAACTCGCTCCATGCCTTGCACTCAACACAGACCAGAAAAGGAGGTGGGTCCAAGTGCCCCTGACCCACACTGTGTATAAGCCTCTGTACAGAGACAGTTCAGGAAAGTTCACAGCAACTGCACAAACTCATGGAGTCCGATAAGCGTTGACTGTGAGCTTTGCCAGGTCTGTGAGTCACTTGTCACCCCATCAATCATTCCCTTTCACTTGAGCACCCAGTCCCCAGCAAAAGTGGCAAGAATGGGTTGAGAGAGCCTGCCAAGTAAAGCCTGGAGACACAGAGAGCCCTGCCAGCTGGCAGTGCAGTGAGATGACCAGTCAGGCCAGTGAGTGCCTGCTTAGAGTAAGAGAGATTGCAGCTCCCTCCTTTCCCTGTCTCAGAGTTGCAATAGTCCCCCTTGCAGCACCACAGCCCAAGCTGGGTTAGGAAACTTGAGTCACAACATGCAGCCCAGTTTCCAAGGACTTCAAGCACCTGGATATGCCTGAAACTTGAGGTACATATGAGCAGGTGCACATATCTGGAGCCTCCTCTTTGCAGAGGGACAACATCATAGACTGAACATGAGGCACTTTGCTATTAGGTCGCAGAGGTCTCACAGCTGAGCTTTACCTACCATTACCAATGGCAGCCTCATCCCAGAGAGATCAGCTCATAGAAATGGTTAGAAAATGGATCAAGGCTAATCTAGGTATTAAAGTAGGTGACATCTACATAGCTGTGGGCTCCAGTACAGACTTGTTAAAAAGGGATATTCACCAGGAAGGCATGTGGGAGGGAGACGGGGAAAGGGATGTTTATTTTCCTACTCCTAAGGCCAGTGCCCTAAATACAGCAAACAACAACACTGACAGCCTGTGCATCCTGGAGACCACGGACGTTCCCACACTGCCGTCTCCCCACCACCGCTTCCCAAACGCTGAGCTTTGGGAGCCAGGATCAGAGACAATCAGCAATTTGTTCCAACACCCTCAGCACTCCAGTGCTGAACTGAATTGAATTAAAAATGAATGTTCACAACAGCAGCTCTTAGAAAGACTTGTCACTCCTTCGCTGCCTGCAGTCATGGACTTGGGTCTCTTCCTGGAAATAGATCCCAACAGGAGTCTGGCCCTGTGTGGATTAGATCACAGGGAATGCAGCAACATTTGAATGAAGGGGGGAGCAGGAGGCTTTCAGCCTTTGGAGAAGCCACGTGTTCATGACCCCAAAATATTGGGAGACAGAATGAGAACCAACCTCACCGTAGCTCTGAAATTCTGTGCAGCCATTTGAAAGTGGGGGCATCACTACACTGTCATGGCAGGAGCTTTCTAGGTGGACTTCCTCCATACTACAGCAGCTTTCTCTTCTAGGCTGTCCTGAATATGTCTTCTGGAGAAGCTTATGTCAGAGGCAGGCTGGACAGCAAGAGGTGCGATGCATCTAGAGATAAACTTTACATTTGCAGAGGAAAGCCTAGAAAATCTGGTCGGTGAGAACTGGAGGCAGGATGCCCTGGAATCAGGTACCAAAGACAGGGCAGGAACAAAGTGCCAGGAAGGGACAGGATGGAACAAGGGCCATCCCAGAAAGAAGCAGGAAGTTAAGCAAAGGGGAGACATAAAAAGTCTAAAGCAGCAAAATCCTCTTCCCAAGAAGGTGTGGTGTCTGGGTGCCTTGCAATGTCCCAAGTGATGGTGCCTCTTAATGCTGGAGGGAATTTAAAAGCAATTAAAATAGCTATTGAGTAATTCAATATTTTAATGAGCTGTGTAGTATAGGCCCTTTTCTTCCCTGCCTGTGGGCTCACCCTGTGCAAGACTCTACTGCACACTGACATGTCTGGGTTACTCAGCACCTTTCACTCCAGGTCTCATGAAAAACATAACTCTGGGCACTCAATTCCCATGTTGCTCTGTGATTGGTGTGGGGGGCACCCCTGTCCAGCAGCTGCAACAGTTCTCCTATATGCCACCATCTCCTGTGGGCAGCTTGTCATGAAGGGTCCAAGCAGCAGGTTGCTTTTTTGCTGCCTGCAGGATACTGTGCTCATCTGTTTGCTGGCAGAGCAGGTAAAGTGAAGACAGCTGTGATGCAACTGATCCTTCTTGTGAGTGTCTGTGAACCCGGCTCACATGCCTGTGGGGGAGGGGGATCTGGTCTCCACATGCACAGGTGGGAGAGGGCAGAGCAAGAGGCTGCTGTATGTGAGAGGCACCACAACACAGCCTTTGGGTTATTTTTTTCCATAGATTAAGGCCTCTATAGGTGGCCATGTATGTTGAGGTGCAACCATGCATAAGCATTTGGACATGGGTCTTTGTGTCCATGGCTGCCAAGTGCAGGCATGCCCTGTCCTACCTGTCATGCAGTCAGTTTCTCCATCTTCCCTATCGGGGGAACTTTGCCTGCCCCTACCCCTGGGTACAGTAACCTTGCCCTTGCTCCCTGGTCTAAATGGAACGGCCTCCCCTGAGCCCAGCTGAATCCTTGGATCCTGCCCACAAGGGCTGTTCTGGATCCAGGGTTTGATGTTACATATGGCTCCAGTGTGTCTTTGCATATGCTTGTGAACACACACATGAGCAGCATTTCTTTGTACACCTCTGGCTTCCCTGATTAGATTCTGAGATCAGGTATAGGCAATTAGAAAGGAAAAGTAGATACCTCTCCTCCTTCTCCAGCTTTTGTCTCAGGCCAGTCTGACATCCAATAGCAAGCTAATATGAGTGACCCTAACAGCAGTGACCTAACCATTCCCCCCACCTGGGATTAGCAGTGAAGCTTAGAGAGTCTCCATCTTGATCCTTTTCTCAGCATCTTTTCCTGCAAGATCTCTTTTTCTCCCAGTCTTATGCATACACTTAAGCACAAGCAAAGACCTGGACCTCTCTGCATTTGTCCTAGATCTCCAGGAGTGTATGCATCTCTTCATGTTCACATGTGTCTCTGCAAGCTTTCAGCCACAGCTGTGCATGTAAGCTTTGTATACTACCTTGCTGCCCTTGCATGTGTGCAGGTAGATCAGCAGTATAACATTGCAATGATGGCTTCTGGAGGAGAACCATAAGCAGACAAGCCTGTAGACATGTATGTGTGTGTACATACATGTGTATGTCAGTACTGATCTATCCACGTGTTTGCATAACCATCAGTGAAAGGCCACAGGAACTCAGGGTCTAGTAAGAATGATGACAACAAACTTCAGGCAATGCCAATTTAATGTAGCCAGATATCTTCCTATCACTACACCACATTCCTGTGTTCCTGGGGAACTTTCCCTCAGCCACTTCCTCTGTTTCTTCTGTCCCACATGCTTGCACTATGATGCCTACTAACAACTGAGACCTCCTTGAATTAATCGAGTGCTCTCCCCATGCAGAGCATGGAGGCCCATTTCATAACCACCTCCCTTCTGCACACCAGTCACTAAGACCCAAGACAATTTGCTTCTCCAGCGTGAGTGAGAAGAGCAGCAAAGGGAAGAGTGTAGGAGGCGGTTTCCGGAGCTGTAACCACCTCAGCTCAACAGAGCCTTCTCAGGGAGCTGGATTGATCAGGGCAGCTTTAGTATGCAGGGCCTGTTCAACCACAAAGCCTCTGTGGCTTTAGCATATTAAAATTCCTGACAGGCCTGGAAACACACAAAGTTCCTGGTGCTTTTCCCCTGGAGAGGTTCCTGTGGTTGGCAGTGTGTGGCACGCTCGTCACTGTGCTATGCTTGGCTCTCAGGAAAGGCTGTGAGTGTCACTAGTTAGTGACACAGGGACCAGGGAGGGCTATTTTCCTAGGCCTGGAGGCCAGTTTGAAACCTCCAGTGTTTTTATTTACCCATTACTGCTGATCCCATGAGGACACATGAGTCCCAGGCAGTTTTCCTGGGTGTTGCAAGACTTGGGGTCTTTCACAGCCAGGCTGAACCCAGCTCAGACTGACCAAATGCTTTTTCCCTCCAGTGGCTCTTCAGTAGCCCCTGGGAGAGAGGAGCTGGTAGGTTACAGTTCAGCTTGCAGTGGGCATGTGTCAGCATCCCAGACCCTAGTTCTGCAGTCACCCCATCTGTGACAATGTGAGTAGAGAAGTCAAAGACTGAGTGGAACCTGGGACATGAGCATCTTTCCCTCACTCTGAAGTGATCCCCTCTGTGGCCTGGCTGAGACCCACTGAACTCAGCCTGAAACTAAGCAAGAGGATTGGGTCAGAACTGGCACCTTTTGTTAGCAATAAATTTATACCAAAGCTTTATCTAAGTAAAGGGTTTTATTTTTCTCTTGGGCTCTTGCCTGCCAGCAACATGCTGGGCACCTAAGTGACAAGGGGATACAGAGTATGGCTATACACACTGGCCCACTTTCTATATGCCAGCCTTGCCATTTCAGTAAAAGGGACAGCGATCACTCTCCAGGACCTGGCACCAGCACATCTATTATCTATTCTAGATGCCCCACAGCTTCTCTCACACTTCTTTTTCTCCCACCCTTTTTCTAGGATCCCCCTTGTGTCTTTTTCTTGCTCCCTACAAAGCGTCTTATCAAAGCCTACTGGTTGTCCCCCTTCCCACATATATACACCCATTGCTCAGTTCTGATCCCTGAGGCTCCCTGTTCACAACTAGGAGCTGCAGAGGGACAATTCCACTTCACGTTCGGCCCTGTGGAAAAGTGTGTGCATGTGTCTTTGTGCACGCACTCCCTCTCCACCATCCCACGCAAATGGCTTCTGTGTCAAACAGCTGTAGGGAGCTGCAGTTTTCTAGATGTAATTTCAAGCAGAGAACTTGCTCTCCTGCCCTCTCGTGGCTGCCAGCCACTCTGCAGCCTCATGAAAGGCTCAGAACTTACTTCTCTTGCTCCTAGCGTTGGACTGGGACAGGTGTGGCTCATGGAAAGCGAGGGACGTACAGTGTTGGCTACAGCCAGACAGAATGAGGCCAGGGATTAGGTAAGATTCCTGGTCCTAGTTTCTGCCAAGGAGTCTGTAATGCCTGGCAGCACACTCTGCTGCTCCATTTCTGGGTTCTTGACACAGCCCCGCTGACTCCCCCTCACTCCTGACCCACAACCTCTCCAACCCCTCCCTGTTTCAAGTGAGACTGAAAGCCTCAGTCTTGGGTCTGCCTCTCTCCTACCTGCTCTGTACGCCTGTCCTGGAAGCTGTCACCCCCTTCCCCTCTGCCTAGTGCAGGCTGAAAGGAGCTGCTGGGAGAGATGTCCTGACACCCAGATGCCTGGTTTAAAGGACAGGCAACATGAAGCACTTTTTCCTCTTTGCCTATGCTGGTGCCCTCCTGCCTCCCAGAAGCAGTGCTTGTGCCACAGCTTCTCCTAACAGGCCAAACTAGTGGGAGGCAACTCTCTGCCAGCACTGAGTTCAGTGCAGTTTCCGCTCAACCGTGGAGGCAGAGAAAAGTCGGCCACGGGCAGTTCAGTGTAGCTGTCACCAGCTGTGCAGCTGAAAGGCCTGGGCTCTAACTGATACTGGGGGTCCCTTCAGCAGGGACTCCTCATCTAGCAGTCATCATCTAAGGACTTTCATGGGCTTCCCAGCTCTCCTGGTAAAGGGATCCACCACCTGACTCTGCATTTCTTGCTTAACCACAGCAAGTGGCAGGAAGGCCAATAACCTCTGGAGGCAGCCAAGCGAATCTGTACTGCAGCTGCTCCAGGAACAGAGGCAGGATAGCAGGCAGCGACTGAGGAAAGGCGGGCATTGACCAGGCTCAGCTAAGGACTCTTCCCCTCCTCAAACAGCTTGGTCAGCCTCAGATTGAGATCTCTCCTGGCCCCACAACATGGCTATTTAAGCTGTCTGCATTAGAGGAGTTGCTGACAAGAGTGGGTGTCATTTCCTCTCAGGCTTTTCATTGCTGCCTTTAGCCCAGACAGAGTGGTTACAGTCAGGCTGATGTAACCAATTTCTCTAATGGGGGGAGGTGTACACACATGCCACTGAGCCACGCTTTCCTCAAATGAATACGTGCATATGCATGCATTATGGCTGGAATTTCAGGAGGACTTAAGCCCTCGCCCCTAGAGCCAGATTTTCAAATTGCTTGGCTCTTATTTGGGCACCAAAATCCAAAAGAGGTCAGCCTACAAAACCCTGCCCTCATTGAAAACCTGCCTAATCACGTCGCGATGGGAACTGGTGGAAGCCAGCCTCTTCAGACTTGTTCTATGTTTATTGCCTGAACAGAGGCTGAGCTTCTTGGAAAGTCATGCCTCAGCTGAGGGTTGAGAGAACTAGAAAACCCAGCCTGGATCTCTGTTGGATACCTGGCCCCACACATGTCCCTGCACTAGGCTTTTTGGTCCAGTCTCTACACTAGGTTGTCTTACAGTTGCTACCACCAGATCAACTCTACCCACAGTGGGCACGGCTACACAAGACACTTCAAGCACAGTAGACTAATTCTACCGCGCATTAGCATGGCAAGCAAAACCTGTGCTAATGTGCTAATGCACAGTAGAATTAGTCTACTGCACATCAGCATCACCAAAAAAGTGTGTGCTACAGCAATTGCGCAGTAGCACCAATTACAGCACATTAAGGTTCAGGTACTAAAATGAATGTTCAGTAATTATGGCGCATTAATGAACATGTATATGTACCCAGTGACAGCTCTAATACAGGCTATGGAAAGCAGCTGCCAGTACCAGCACCCTGTATCCTCTGGGCCTGCTCTGGACAGAGTGAGGTGGCACAGTGATACACATTAGCAGTACCACTGGTGACAAATGTCTAGTGGCCAAAGCCATTGCCAAGGGCAAACGCTTGCCCAGTCCTGGGAGTCCAGGCTGTAACCACATCTGTCCACTGTGGGCTCTCCAGCCCTGAAATACGCAGCTTTCCTGGATTTCCAGGGGCCCACACCCCTACCTCCCACCCCACCTGATTCCTCTGAAGTGACATGTGGCTGCCCCCCTGCTCTTCTCACTCTGTCTCAACACCAGTCTCTTTCCAATGGAGGGAATGGGTTTGCTTTGGAACTGGCTGGTACTGGAGGAAGGTTTCCACAGGTTAGGCAGAGATCAAGGTCCCCCCTGTGGCAGCAGAAAACTGGAGAGGGGACTACAGAGCCCTCATTAGCTGAGCCTGCCCTACCCCACACCCCTCCCCCACTCGGCTTACTATAAATTAGTCTCCATGCATCTAGAAGCTCTGGGCATGTGGCAAGCCTGAAGACTGCCTTGACCCAATATGCCAGGCAGGGAATGAGTGACCTTGCAGCTCCCTTCCCCAGCAGGAGGTCCTGAGCCCTCCCCTCCCTTGTTCTCCTTGCTGTATGGTCCTAATCCTCTGATCTTCATCACTACTGTCAGGGTGAGCCTGAGCACTTCCTTGGCCTCCATTTCACAGCTGTCACCAGGCTTAAGCTGCCCATGAGCACATTGGGCACATGCTGCCTCCAGAACACAGTGTGCCAGCCAGTGAAATGGCTCCAACCATTGCAGGAGCCACCTGGCACTGGGACATGAGCACTGCCAATCTCAGAAGCAGCTGCCCAGAGGGAAGGCAGATCCACCAGCCCTTCCCCACCCATGCTCCCATGCTGCATAAGACAGTGCTTCAGGGCAGCGAAGACATCCTAGCAGAAGGCAGGCTTGGGTGCACAAATGCCTAGCCTCATCTCCCACAGCCAGCAGAGCTGCTCCTGCTGACAGGGCAAGGCAGCCCAGGAGCATCACAGGGCTGAGAACCATGAATTAACCTTGGCAGTACTGGTGAGTCACCCTCAGACAGAGAAGCAAGTGCGGCTGGACACAGCAAAGCGAAGGCCTCCAAGGGAGTCTCTGTGCTGGGGACCCTTACTACTGGGCTTCTCCTAACAGGTTTGATGGGACTGACCTGCTTTAAGACCTCTGTAACAGGAGCACCGAGCTCTCTGCTGGGATCATGGCTGGTCCAAGGAGTGAAGCAAGTTGGACTTAATCAGTGGGAAACTCAGGATGCTGCAGTGGTCAGGATCAGTGATCCAGCAGTGGATAGCCTCCCTTCTGAACCAGGGCTGGGCTCAACAGCTCAGCATGCCCCTGGCAGTGTCATCAAATCTCTTGTAGTCACTGAACTCTAAAACAGTGGTGCTCACCCTTTCTGAGGTAGGGGCTAGATGAGTGTGACACAGACCGTCCACACGCCAGATCTGGAACATGGGGCCAGGTGCGCAGGCCGGTTCTGGGGCACAGACTGACCCCATGCACCAGATCCAGCCCAGAGCAAACTTCATGTGCTGGGGATGGGGCCATTTGCTGGGTCCAGTCCCACATGCTGGGTCTGGCTGTAGACTGGTCCCAGGCACCAGTCCAATCCAGCATGTGAAGCCATGTCATCCAGCCCGTGGAGTGCCCCGTGGGCCTAAAAATTCAGCCACAAGAGAGCGGTGGCAGCATAATTGCTGAGGCTCCCAGAACCATAGCAATGAATGCTTCCACCACTCCTTGATGCCAAATTGCCAGATCCAAGGGAAGCCCCCCGGGTCTAATGACTCAGCTCCGGCCAGCCATCCTTCGAGCACCACTGTTCTAGACCGGGGGGGGGCCAACCTGTGGCATGCAGCAGATCAGGGAGGGGAGAGGCATTTTAGAAGCATACAGGGCAGAAAGCAGATTAACAGATTAGCTAGGGGAAGGGGATCCTAGTGGCACTCGGGGAGGTACGTGGCTAAGTTGTGACACACCTGCTGAAAAAGTTGGCCCCCACTGTTCTACCCATGTCCCTCTTCCTCTCCCTGCACCCCCTCCATCCTTGCAATGTCCTGCTCCTCCCCAGAAGTGGCTGCATCTGACACACATGAAGTACTTTCTCTCTCTCTGAACTATATAGTGTTCTGTATCCCTTCAGGGTGGCAAGTGCTGTTCCTACTGCTGGGTAGGAATTACAGAGCTCCTTTTAATGATTAAGCTTCCTCCTTGCTTCCTCTTCCTTGGTCTGTCTCTGTCCCCCTTCTCCTTCTCCTCTCAATAAAGTTCAGGCTCTTGGCACAGACAGCCAGATATGGGTGGGCCAGACTCCCTCACCAGCTCCAGACTTGCACCACAGGAAATTCTCCAGTGCCTTATTGTGGTCCCTGGGATACTGGTAACAATAGACCTATGAGAGAAGTGGGAAACCAGCTGACAGGGCAAGGGGTGAGGAGTCAGGGACAGGAG